TTTCTCTCTGCCTTGCCCTACGTCTACGACTGAGACAGTCTTAAGCGCTTACGGATAGTTGTCTGCCATCAGCCTAAAGCGGAACGCACGCGCGCGCGCGCGCCTCTCGTTCGCCTCGTGTTGATTCCGTCTGTGTGACTTGCAAAAAATTAACGTTAATACCCGCAAATTTCCAATGTACGGGTCGCGCGAGCAGCCAACTCTCTCGACTCGGAATGAGGCGCGTCACAAATTCAATTCGCTCGACGTTACTATTTGACAGATTAATTAAACCTCGCGCACGTACCTAATGCCCGTCCAATTACCGTCGCGTAAGTTCCGTGGAACTGTTGAATGGCAATTGAACCGAAGTTCTCGCCGAGCGCGCATCGCGCGTCTCTCTCTCGCGCGCGTGCGATTGTCTCGCGTTTCACGGAGAGACCGAGCATCTCTCCTCGATAACGCTCGATTGAACCGCGTGAATCGACGATTTTGGGACGCGCTGTATACACAATAGTCGCGCCCTTCGCTTGGATTCACAGATCCGCCCGCACATATTTTCGGCGGAGCATCGTCCGCCTCCGCCTAGATGATATTTTAGGACAAAGAATCACTTTCAGCAGCATCGCTGCCCCTTTGACATTTCGCTCTCCGCGACTATTGAGCTTTATCTTGATGTAGAGGCATCCTGTCCTCCTCTCTCCCTCTCTCTCTCTCTCTCTCTCTCTCTCTCTCTCTCTCTCTCTCTCTCTCTCGCTTTATTCGACGCCGAGAATAGAGTCGCGAGATAACGGCGAGAGAGAAGAGCATCATCCGGTATCAGGATGCGCAAAGGGAAGACTCACCGAAGTACTTGTCCGGCTCGAGGCCCGAGTCCTTGTCGAGGCTGCATATGACGAAGTAATCAGCGAAGCGCAGTGGATGTTGCTCCGGGCCGCGCGTGATCCCCAGGCTGCCGTTCATCTTTCCCGACGCGGACCTGCAGCAGCAGTTGCGACGCGCTGCCGCTCACCGCGGGCCACCTCGACCGCCGTCGTCGTCGCCGTCGCCGCCGCCGCCGCCGCCTTCACGAGATTGATTTCCACATCGCGGACACCACCGACGCGCTACTTGTCAGTCACTTGGCCTCAGCCGCGACAACAGCTGAGCGAGCGCGCTGCGTACACGACGCCGACGCTCACGGAACAACGCACACACTGTGCGCTCTCTGCGGAGCGAAGCGGAACGGGACGGGACGGGACGGGACGGAACGGTGCGGAGCGACGCGGCGCGGTGCGGAGCGCGTATGCACAGCCGCGAGAAATTGATCTCTTGCGGTGGACGCTTGAAGTTGGCCGCGCGCCGCGCCTGCGCGCGCCCAGCCTCAGCACCGCCATCTAGATTTGGCGCGCGATTCGAACACGGTAGACCCTTCGGCGAGTCTCCGCGGGAAACTCCGACAGCGTCGAGTTACTACGAAAAACTGGTAGTCTTAGGCCGGTATTCAAAGTCGGATCTTATATTCAAGACCGTCTTGAATTTATCTGAAGATGCTGCATGGAACATTTGTTCGGTTACCAAGTATCTACTCATGCTTGACCGTGATTGGTTAATTTCTTAAGGCTTAGGGCTTAAAATATCTATTGTAGACTGGGACTTAAGGCCATTCTACAATTGCGTAAATATAGTTGTAGGGTTGTAGGAGTAGAAGTAGTAGTAAGTGTTGTACAACAAAGTAATATACAATAGAGTAAGATACGTCGCACTTGAAGTAAATGAAAACCAATCAGCGTACAGTTTAGCGTTCGATGAGAGCGGTATAGACACGTGACAGAATTCTGATTGGTTAGCCTTTACGTCCTATATCGTTGTAGTCGTGAAAGATGAAGTTCAGCCATCTTTTACAACAGGCTGTACAATCGGAAATGCTAGTTTAAAAATGTGCTTTACAACACTGTACAACCGCTAACAACCACGTTTACGCAATTGTAGAATGGCCTTTAAGCAGTAAGAAATTAACCAATCACAGGTGAAAGTGAGGGGACAATTGCCTGTGATTGGTTAATTTCTTACGGTGTAAGGCTTACATCTTAAGCCCGCTGCAGACGATGCTATTTTTCCTGCTGGATTGCTTGCAATCTAATAAATTACTATCGTTGCACCATTCAGCACTCAGGATTCCTAGTAATTTAGTAAATCGCAAGCAATCCAGCAGGAAAAAATAGCATCGTCTGCAGCGGGCTTTAATTGTCCCCCCAAAAGGAAAGCAGCCGTAATTCGATGTATACAACGTCTCGTGCGCATAGGAGGGCGCCAGCGGACGGGCTCCATTTAAATCGCAGGCACGCCACTCTACACACCCACGTACGCACACGCGCGGACACATGCGCCCTGCCCGCCGCCCGCGAGCGTTCGCGAGCGCCTGTTACGCTCGCCGGAAGGTTAGATCCCCGAATGATTAGGTCGAGCCGGACCTCATAAACACGCGATACGACGGGGCGGTAGCGGCGCCTCAGGACTTTCATCTTTTTACATAGGATGGAGGAGATCGACAATATAATAATTCACTCGTTGCGACAAATAGGCTGGTAAGTGGCGGGGTTCCGATCGGTTCGCCGCTCATTTTTTTCCCCCCCGAGGCTGCGGCGGCGAAGTGGGCGGTGTTTCGGCGATCTCGTTTCCGCGATCGGGAAGCCGCGCACGTGAGCTCGTCCGCGCGACTGGCCTCCTCGCGACGTCGCCTCGTCGCCGGCGTCGGAACGCGGGCGAGGGCTGTCGAGCGTTGATACTCGCGGGGGAAATGTGAACGCGAGAGGACTTGTAAAAATAAGAATGAAAGGTATCCTCCGTCTTTCTGCCGCGGACGAGTTCCGGAGGACACCACAGACCGACTGCGTCGTGACTCCGGAAGGTCTTTTCTTTACAGCTGACTTGGCACTAGTTCAGAATATCTTTCTCTTTTTTCCTTTGTGGAAGGAAGTGTCTGAACTAGAGTCTATCTTTCTTCCTCTACAAAGGGCGAAGGAGAAAGTTACTCCCCAGCAAGCACCAAGTGACAGAGTATAACATCAATGTAAATGTAATACAACACACACGTTATATTACATTTATTTGATGTTGTGTGACTGTTGCTTTGGTATTTCCTGGGTCTGATCTAGTGCAGCCGGTTCAGTTAAAAAGAACAGACTCGGCCTCTGTCTATTCGTTATCATTCATGCAAGTGTTGATCCTTTTCAGTGACATTGAAGAGAACGTGACGAATCTAAGTGGCTTTAACACCGAACTAGTTGTGGAGGCTACTGTAAGATGCTTGGAAGCGATAAGGCCGGGTCTGGGCCTGTCCACTGTACTGCCCGTGAACATGGCAGCGCGCTTTCGACTGGGCGCTACTCTGGCACAAACGTGCACGGTAAGCGCCCGTTTACTGACCGGAACGCGCGCTCATTCAATTTCGCTGATTCCTGTCGCGCGATTGTAATTACAGGAGCTCGGGTACAGAGGTGACATCGGCTACCAGACGTTCCTGTACAACTCGGAAGCAGATCTGCGGAGGGTGTTCATGTTTCTCATCGAAAAACTGCCAAAGGAGAGTGAAAAAACTGTAAACGAGTCCATCAGTAAAGTCGCTTTATTAGAGAAATCGGTGGCGTCCGCGATATCCCAGGGACTCTCCGCCCCGTGGTTGCCACATTACTGTCATAAAAAGGGATTCAGAAATAGAGGAAGAGCGAGTGTCCCCTACGCATCTGTAAATATCGAAGTACCAATGGCAAATGTAGAGGACGGTAATATTAGTGCAAGTTGTAATATTAATATCAATTGGATTAGTTTCGCCAGAGAGGCCGAGAAACAATGTCGTTGTCATTGCAGATTATAAAGACTACTGTATGCGCTATCTACAACCAGTGCCTGAACAAATGCAAGACATTTCATGCTTTTTACCTTCGGTGATATCGCATAACGCGCGCGCGCTCAATGCCGCTCCGACAGATATTTCGGAGCGCGTAAATTGGCTCAATAGTCAACAGTCTGAGAAAACTGCTTATTCTAATGCGCATAATATTGTCAAGGAGTTCAGCAAGTTCTCGTCGGAGAACAAGATGCAAACGGTGAGCGCGCGAGATATATCTTGCGTTGTATGTATTTTTCTGTAACAGTCGTCATATTATACAGCAGAATGTTATATATTTTACATATTTGATATGGAAAGGTTGTTAAACTTTCTCAGGAATCTCAGGTGAAACCAGAATCCACGACACAACCAGTGCTTCCAGATCAGGAAATGTTGAGAAATGAGGCAAAGCAGGAGGTTGAAACGGAAAAGATGAAAGCGGAATGCGAAAACCTTAGAATAATTATAGAAGAGTTACAAAACGAAATGAAAAAAATGACCACTAGATTAGCGCAAGCGACGATAACCAGTCAGAACGAAGAGAAGGAATTACGAGTCAGTGAGGAACAAAAAAAGATCAAAGCGAAAGCATACGAGATGCTACAAGATGGGCCGGAGAACATAAAGAAATTGGAGTCTGCAATTGAAGCTAGTACAAGCAAACTGATTAATTTAGCAAATCAGTGGGAAAAGCACAGGGTACCCTTAATCATGAAGTATAGGCAAGAGCGGGAGAAGCATTCCACAAAAGCGGTAAGTATATTAAGTTATGTAAGTTTCGGAGTAGCAAAGAGATGCTAATTATATTTTATAAACGGTTACATTATTCCGTAGAATGCGAGTCAAAAGAAGCTGGACGAGATAAGATTGTTAAAAGAAAAGGAGAAAGAACTTCAGGAGGAATGCCGAAATAAGGATCAACAGTATTCACAGCTCGTCGCGGAAGTACAGAAACTTCCGAAAGAAGTGAACAGATCTGCGTACACTCAACGAATTTTAGAAATAATAAACAACGTCAGGAAACAGAGAGACGAGATAAGCAAAGTTCTGGCGGACACTCGTGAGATTCAAAAGGAAATCAATACGCTTACCGGGAGACTGGAGAGATCTTTCACCGTCGTGGATGAACTGATATTCAGAGACGCGAGAACGAACGAGGCTTCGCGGAAGGCTTACAAATTATTGGCGACCTTGCATTCGGACTGCAACGAACTCGTGAGTTTGGTCGAAGAGACTGGTGCGACAATACGAGAGATTAGAGATCTGGAGGAACAGGTAAGATGTCGGATGCACAGTAAAAAATTAAAGTAGATTTACGCGTAAAATCAGAACATTCGATTCAACGTTTTTTTTTTCCAGATCGACTCCGAGTCCGCCAAGAATGTCGGCGCTAATTTGGAAAGAATAACTGCCGATTTAAAACAGATGAAGCAAGAAACCGCCGCGTTAACTGCACAACTCCAGAGTAAAGCCTCGTGATTGTTATGTACAGTGTTGCGCCACTTTGCAAGTTATAATGTTCAGGACCAGACGGGAATCTAGTGCAGGTGCGAGATTCACTTTTCACGATAATTGTGTATAATTAAGAATATCGGAACATAATTTGAATTCTCTGTAGGATAAGTAAAATTACAAACACTCATTTTGCTGTTTACAGAATACAAACGAATACAACCGAACGCATCAAAGACCAAACATTTTTTAGCTGCACGACTAGCAAAATGTAATGCGATATTGCCGGTCAGGACCTCCACGAATCTACTAAGTTGGCTGCTAAAAGAACGTGCCTTGGCCTGAAGTCGTCAGGCATTGGGCTTCTATTTAGCCTCGGGCCAAGTGTATAAAATAAAGACACGCTGTTAACATGGATGCTCAAAGAGACATTATTTGTTATAAAGCCTAATAATTTTTTAGCATCGAGTTCAACTTTCGTATCTCTCGCAACCTGAAGATCTGACTTACGGCTGTAAATAAAATAACTGCTAAAAACGTCACTTTCGAGCAAAAAAACATGTACAAAATATAGAATGTGTATAATGGTAGACTCAACGTTTAATATTTTATACATGCTTTCCTTGAAAATTATTTTCATAAGCATATGTGAAAACCACACGCATAATATCAAAGTACAATGAGATAACAGTTTCGTTGACTTCTTTTCGTTCTGATCCTCTGTACTGTATGTATATGCATGTAACTCTACCTCTTTATTTTATAGTACGCTTTATCTTCTACTTTTAACATCCGGTGGTATGTAGAACTCTGTAGCAATCAAATTTCTTAATTTCTTTGCGCTGTTGGGCATGGCACGGATACGTTCATCCTCCCTACGTTCTTTTTCCTGTATCTTCTCTATTTCCAATTCGATCTCTTCCTCCTTATCGAAGAACGTCAACAGCTGTTCTCTCTGCTCCAAATCCTTCTTTATCTTTTCTATGTTACTAATTCTTCTTTCTCTCTCTATCGCATTCATTTGTGCTTCTAATACAGAGGTTCTTTCACGCTCCCAATCGAGGTAAGTCTGAAAAGTTAGAAATATATTTTATAATTCACCACAGGTGTTGAGCAATTGATTGAATTTGGAGCAATTCTTTTTATCGATATTACCTGACATTGTTTAGATACGTCTTTTTCGGCCTCCTTTTCCACAGCTGCTCTAATAAGGTTCTCCAGCGCTTCGACGAAACTTTCTTTAAGATTCTGCTTCTCCTTCAACATGGTCAATTTAGCCTCTACAAGCTTGAACCTTTCAGCATCTTGATCTCCAAGTCCACCATTGTCTTTGGATATTAATTCAAATACTTGTTCATAAACTATCCCGTCTTGAATCGTCCCTAGCCATTTCTCTATCAAGTTTAACACGTCGTCGTATTTCTTAAACAATATTAAGCCCCTCAATTGGCAAGTTCTCCCAATAGCGTCCGCTCGATGCTTCCCCAGAAAGCTCAGGGTCTTGCCGACGAGATCCCTCGGATCGGTGAGATCGAAATGATCGTCGAAGTACGGATTTCTCAGATAATCCACGCGCACCTTCACCTCCTCCGTGGAGGTGTCCACTGGAACCTCGGGCTTCTTCCAATCGTCAGGATTCTCCAGATACTTATGACACGCGTACAAGCACAGTGCATTGGTGATTGGATGATCCGTGTCCTCCTGCAACATAACCAAGCTCGCCACCTTTGCCGCCGATGCGTAATCCTTCCTCTTTACAAAGTGATCCATGAGCAGGTTGTAGTCGAAGTAATCGGGGAAGATGCCGTAATTGAGCCTGTCGTTCAGCACCTCGTGCAACTCCGCGACGTAGTCGTGCTGCAGGAGGTACCGTATCACAGCGTGGTGCGTCGAGTCGAGTATATTGGTCGTCTCGACAGACCTCCGGAGATTGTGAAGGGTCCTGATCACCTCGTCGACGTACACGCTGTCGGTGACGCCGTTGACAAAGATGTCGACGTCGACGGCGCTCACCTTGCCGACGCTCCCGTACTTCTGCTCCAGCTGGACGTACATCGTCGTGGAGTCGAGCTTGCGCAGCAGCGGCGATTCCAGCCTGCGACTCCACGCCTCCTCGCAGCGATATGCCTCCGACAGGAACAGCCTCCTCTGCGCTCGCATCGCGAGGTCCTTTGGACCTCCGCGACGCACCCGGCAGAGCCTATGACCAAGTCTCAGCGTTTTCAGCATCTTGATTATTAAATTGCTCGCGCGCAATCACATAACGTGGTCACGGGTGATGCAGCCCGGGGCAATAAACGCCCTACTCTGTCTCCTTTGAATTTTCGTCTTCGAATGTTCGAATCACCCACGCGTATCTTTCTCTTTGTCACCCGGGTTAACGATACCTTGAATTCTGGATCAACCGCACGCTCACAATATAAGTTAGGTTAGATTAGGTTAGATTAGGTTAGGTTATAGCAGAGAGAAACCTGAGAGCGGCCACTCCGGTGTTTTACTTGTTACCATTTCGCTAAGCAGTTTCCAGCGCTTTACGCCAACTTTTATTTTTGAAACTACTCCGCTACGCCCATTTTCGAGCACTGTCGATAAAGTCTCCAGGTAATACTGAAGGAGAGTCTCTCATTCTCCA